GTTGTGTGATTCTTCTTATAATCGGTGAATTTGGGAGATAGCGTTTGAGTACAAGTAATCAAGTTAATTTCCAATTTTTGGCGAGCAAGTGTCCTAGCGAGCAAATGTCCTAGCGAGTAAGTGTCCTGGCGAGCAAGTGTCCGCGAGCAACTGTCCCTGCGAGCAACTGTCCGGCTCCCGATACAACTCACTGTTCCCTAACTGCATCTGATCACTTTACGCCAACATCTCGCAATAATACACACGTAAAAAATGCAAATCTTCTACCCAATGAAGGCAACACCTGTTCTTACACAGTTGTGTTTGAAGTTATATAACACATTCACAATTTAAATCTTTTTTCAACTGTTCCTTACATGAGCTTACGACGTTTCCCTGAGGAAACCAAAATATAAACTCGACAAATCTTTTAACATCAGGTTACAAATATCGGTAGACTTCACGGCTTGTCCACGTAACTCCGCTGGCAGAGATGTCATAGCGTTACCTTTTTTGCTCATTTTATTTTGAGCATAGTTTCATTACGAAACGTTCTAGAGAGCTCGGGAACATCTCAAATTGAAGAAAAAGTTGTTTTAAAGATTTCGAGATTCGTCCGCCTCCTGGAAAGTGTTCCTTCGAAAAGCTGTAATGAAAATGCGGAGAGCTACATTTCTGGTTTTTTGTTCCCGAGCTCTCTAGAACGTTTCGTAACGGAACTATGCTCAAAATAAAATGAGCAAAAAAAGTAACGCTATGACATCTCTGCCAACGGAGTTACGTGGACAAGCCGTTCATTTCAAAGGAATGCTATAGGAAAATTCAACATCTTCTGAATTTGATTCTTAGTGCGCTGTCTCTTACATAATACCGAAAGTATGTTTTGAACTTGCAGTTGCATGGTTTTGTAGTAGACACTATCTACTATTTATGGTAAAATTTCTAAGGTTTAGTAATCTGCTATTACTGAGTTAAAAGAGTTTAAAGTTGGCAAATTGTTAAGATGGTGGAATCTATGTGTTTTTTGACTTTCTGTAAATTTCTATATCTCGACAACGACAACTTTTTAACTTGCGATTTTTGCCAGAGTTCATTAGATGTTTGGTCTAAAAGTGCGCCCTAGCTATAAAAAGTATTGAGAACATTGATGGAATAACATGGATTGAGACTTAAGTGTAATGCCTCTTATACTGATAATATCTATACAAAAGAACTGTGAATAGCATTTTTTACACAAAATAAGGCAAAACTTTACCTACTATACTTTACAAAACGAAAAGTGTAAAAACAGCACGTTACATTCAAGTTATTTACTTATATCGATATGCAATGAGAATAGGCTAAAAGAAAAAGAATAAGATTTATATGAAGGCTTTAGTCAAGCTTCTAAAAATATTAAATAAATAAACAAAAAAGCGTAAAATAAGTTTATGTGATATCTTAATTATTTAAAACAGATATAATCTTGTTTATCCGTCGACATATAAAGAAAAATTCACGCATTCTGGATAATGAAATAGTAGTAAACTGTCAATATGCAGTCGTTGAATTACCGCCAATAACTGTTAAGAGGCAAAGTGAGATAGTAGAATAAAGAAAGTCCACTGAAATTTGTACGATAAGCGTCGAAGCGTTAATTACTGTTTATTCAATAATTATTAAAAAGTCAATGGTTGTTGTGTGCATACGATTGTTATTATCTTTACTGAATGATATTACAACAAACAATATTAATAATTATTGCTTGTACACTTATTAAGACTTTTAGTTGTTCCATAGAGTTTTTGAACACGTTGAGCTGATTCAACAAAAATAAGTGCTAAACCAGCTTGTAAATGCCAATCGATATGACAATGAAATATCCATATTCCAGGATTATCCGCTACAAAACGTAATACCGCATAACTATGTGGATTAAGAGATACTGTATCTCGTTTCAATGGATTTCTAGTATTAAAAACAACTTTTTTCTCATTAAAGTCACCATCGTGCGTATTTCCGTTTGCAATTATCCAAAATTTGTGTCCATGTAAATGGATTGGATGTTCCCCGTCGTCGTGATTATTGATGATGATGTCAATAATATCACCATAATTAATTGAAATAACATTATTTGATTTTGGGTATGGTTGATTCGTTTGAACGATAGACAATAAAGTTGTACCCATTACATGAACAAAGCTAATATTATTAAAATGTGCCAAATTGACACCATTTTTATTATCATAAAATTCAATTTCTACTTTCACAGTTTTATTGCTTTTTTTGGGTACATTTAATTCCATTGGTTGAAGTGAATTTTGATCAAGGAAGTTATTGCCTTCATGAAATGAATCCAATATAATTCCATCATTTTTATTGAACTGCACTTCTGAAGGGAGACCGTATTTACCATTGTAGGATAGAATGGCACTAACATTTGGTTTGAACGACGCATGGTCCATAGTATCTGGATCGATTATAGCTCGAATCCAATAGTTTTGATTTGTCTTAGTTTTTCCTTTAACCAAAACAGAATATCGCTGTCCGGCATTTATACGAATTCCGTTAACAGTTGTTTTACCATTTAAATTGGTACCATCTGCTTCGATTACTTTCATTGTATGTCCTTCAATTGTAAATAGAAAAACAGCAAATGCTGATGTGTTTATAATTCGAAATCGTTTTGTTGTTCCAATTTTAATAGGAGCATTATAATACTGACATTTCTTAACAGCGCAGTTATATTGACCGATTCCATTAATCAATCCCGTATCAGGTACTGGTTCATTGCCATCACTCGATTTTGAAAGATAATATTTTTGTAAAGTTAATGCTTGTTTATGATACCAATCAGATAACATAAAAATCTCTTCCTCATCGTAATGGCTTTTCCATGGATCTTTAGGATCGTGGATGATCAATGCACTTTTTAGTCCATCAATATATTGAACAGAAGCATGTGAATGATACCAATACGTACCAGTCTGAATTCCTGTCTGAAATTTATAATGATATTTTTGATTTGATGGTATAGCACATTGTGTTACTCCGGGCACCCCGTCAGATGTAAGTGTACCGATCTGAAATATTCCATGCCAATGAATACTAATTGGCACATGGAGCATATTCACGACTGTTATGTTAATTGTATCACCTTTACATACGTTAATTATTGGAGCTGGAAACTCATTGTTAATGCTCAAAAGTGAACGTTTAAAACCATCTGGTGAACGATCGAACTGTTGAACACGAAATTCGGCAGTGAATGTCTTCTTGTCATTATTGCAATAATTAGCAGTGCATAATGAAAATAATAATGTTGAGATTAAAGATGATCTAATCATATTTTATTGTGTATAGATTCCTAAAGCAAACAAAATCCTTTGGCAGAAAGCTGGACATTTTCACTATGTCTGTTATATACGAACAAATAAGATTTCCTATGCTTTAACTCAAATCAAAACCGAACTTTTATCAATTTTAGATACAAGACTTGATTCAGAATCACTTTCGAGTTAAATGGAATACGGTAAGCCTTGGTATTTTAACTAAATTTCGATTCTAAGAATTATATGTGTTTGACCCAATTCTCTTCAACCTCTTTTCTAAACTCAATATCTTTTGTTTGATGAAAAATACAAATGCGAGAAACGTTCGAAAACTAAATTTAATCAACCAAAAGTGAAAGTAGGCATGTATCGGTGTCGCTGCACCAATCAACGAACAAAAATAAGCCACATACGGTGTCCAGTCAAGATTTGACTTTAAAACTAAGCCTAGCGGCTTCTGTTCCACAACGTAAGAAACAGGCAACTTGTTGATTACACAGGTGGTAGCGAGTATCCTGTACATGAGTGGAAAAAACTACAGCTTTACATTTATCAGTATTTAAATATAATTACCCAGTTATAGACCATTCATAAATTAATGAAAATCTTTATTTACTTGGTCTATAACTTTCCTAATACCATTTTTCTTTGTAACACAATAGAGTGATGCATCATGAACAAAAAGCCTCATAGCCGAACTAACATTTTCACCAACAGCATCTATAAAAATCAAAAATAATAATGGCACTAAAACCAAGCCTTGAGGAACGTCTCTGTCGAGTCAATAGATTTTGGTGACGATGTAATCGTTGTTACAATTTCCCTATCGGAAAGCTAACTGGCAAACAAATTCATTAAGAACAGTGGCAGTCCTTAATGCCACTTTTCACACATATTTTCAGTCTTTCTCTTGACACCCAGATATTTTCATCGATATGAAGAGTAACCTGTATCATATCGTCAAACAGAAAACAAACATGTGCTGTGAAGTGAAGTGTTACCTTTCCAAAGTGTAAGATGCGTATAATGCAAAAGTTGAGCCAAATTGTTTTTGAACTTATGACACATCGTTCGATAGAGATCGTTGAGCTGATTAGGATAATATATGTTTTAAAGTTTCAAAAAATTGTTTTCATGTCGAAAAATTGAAAAAACTCGTTTCAGAGAAAATGCATTTATTCTAAATAAGAGGCGAAAAGGTCGGAATTCTGTCCGTAATTCTCAATTTTCTTCATTATAACTCAATTTCTGAGGAATAAAAATATCATACTCGGAATCAGGATCAAAAACTGAGTCGAGTGAGGTGTATGTCTACACTAACCGACTACTTTCATTTTTTTCGAATTTTCACATGAAAAAAAAGTGCTTGGATTTTCATCAAAAACTGAAAATCATCTAAAAGTTTCGAAATACATCCTTTACAAGATATCGAAAGAAGACATGTCATACGCGCAAAATTTGTTTGCAAATAAACTTTTTGAATCAGATAAAATCGTCACCTCTGTATCACTTGTAAAATCTTTTGTTATTTATCACCTCCACCTTTGCATATTTGTGAATGTATGTTGAAGTATATTGAAGATTTCTTCATATACTATAAGAATAAAAAGTACAGAGGAAATACGGAAATGCTTCAATATCGATTACTTTCAAACTAAAAAACAGTTTTTCAGTTTCAGTCCGTCATAGTTTGCGATATAAAATAAAAGAAAATGGCCATTTTGTCGTTCTAGAGAAGCTCTACCCAGTGGTTATACATAAGACTCTTCATTGGCTCAAGCGGTCGCTAGAGGACTTTTTCTTTTTAACGATTTTGTCCAAAATCATTATTTTCTAACTGCAGTTTTGACGTACTAGGAATATTTGTATGATTCGGGCAAAACCACACACTATGTGGCCCATTCTGGTTTATCTTAAAACAAAATAATGCTACTTTGATACATAGCACCGTGTTCAAAATAAGTCATTTCTGATTGGGTTTTGGGTTTGAAAGTAAGCGAGATTAAAGCTTTTCCGTATTTCCTCAATATTTTTTTATTCTTATAGTACATAAAGAAGCATATACTTTGTGTAGAGAGTTGAATGGTAAATTTTTAAAAAAAAACAAAGTATGGACGATGAAAATTGAAAAAAGATACTGAGAATATACTCAGACCGCCATTTATTCCGCCGCACCCGTTACTTCGCGTGTTACTACGAACAAACAAAATAAATAAAGATTACCTGATAGTATGACACTTATTCCTAAAGAGATTGAGTCTCCTTACCTATTTCATGTCATAGATAATGAGACATTATAATATATAAATTACTCTCATTATTGTATCAACAATCAAAAAACAAATACTACTCATGCGGAAAAATCACATATACCGTCGTACTACTATCGGCGCCAGAAGCCAAAGCAGGTGAATGCTTTTTGAATAACTTTTGATAGAAGACAGATGGCGGCCTGCGATTTTCAGTTTTAAAAAATAGACACCTAACCACATATTTCTGTAATCAAAAGCAGACTTCGAAAAAACTTTTGAAGCGGATTTGCTGAAAGTCACATAGGAATATATTGAGTTTTTTCATGGACTGATAGCCCGGGGTGTTCTCTTCGAAATGGGAGTAAAGTGAGAACTCGATTTTCTGTGGTTCGGGCGTTCTATCGGATATTCAGTACTGGCACCAGGTGGCTCTTGAAAGCCTTAAAGACGGATGGATTATGAATAAGCGTTGCTGAGCCTCGTGACAGTATCTGTTTTTAGAAAAAGTTTTAAAAATGTACCAAAAAGCCTGTTGTACGAAAACTAGGATTTTCAGGCTGTTTTCACCTAATATTAAAAAATTCACTATTCACTCAAAAAACATCAGAACAAGCTCAGAACTTCAGACTGTAGAGTATTTAAGCTATTCTATATCCTGTGTATAGAAGCCCTCGAAATAAATTTTAAAAAACCCTAAGATTTCCCAAAAGGATTTCGGGAAAACTTATTAAGAAAACTATGCTTTTAGATTTTTCCAATCTTATTTTATGAGGCTTCTGTTTGAGAAGAATAATGCCAGTGGAATTTAGTGTAACTTAAAGCTTTTATTTTAAGTTGCTATTTATTTTAAAGGAGTTATTCTATCACGCTTTTTTATTTATATGATCAATCTTCTTTGAACACAAAAGTTTATAGTCTTTAAGTTAATGTCTTTTGATATGCGTAATGGAGGTTGAACACTATTCTCAACTTTTGTTCTCACGACTACAACCAACTGATAAAATCAGCCATATAACGAACAGGCCGATAATGAAACCTCTTTACATCCAAGAATATAATCAAAATTGGGGTTCAGTGGATAAGTCAGAGATACTAGTTATGTATACGCTCATGTATACGTAAAACAATCAAATGGTACAATAAATTATTTTTCCATTTGCTCAATTTATCCATGCTGAACGCATACATATTGTACAAGAGAACGAAGCAAGTGAACATTGAGTTCGCTGATTTTCGCCTGCAAGTGATTCGACAAACCTTTGACAAATATGGAAGTCAACGAGATTCAAGAAATGGCCGATCGTCTATCGATAATCTATTAAGACTGACAGCTCGTACCTTTCTATCACTTTTTAGCGAAGGACTATGTGTAGTATGCAGCAAGACTATCAAGCGACCAAAGAAAAGATCTGACACTAGATACGAATGTGCAAATTGCAATGTTGCCTGATGCATCACAGATTGTTTTCGAGAGCATCATACTTTGAAAGTATATTAATAAACTCGAATAAAGGATAGAATTAACTAGCTTTTCAAAAGTTTAATCTTATATTGGGTGCGGCATAAAGAATGATACCGTCAGTATTTCGTCAATATCTCGTTGAGCTTTCATCGTAGAGACTTGAACTTAGTCTGAAAAGATTCTTCATTAAATTCTCTACAAAACTATAAAGAGTACGCACAATAAATAACTGTGAATTTATAGGCTGTCAACACTGCTATGTTTCAAACGGAAGCACTTCCCAACCATTGTTACGTTTTGTTTTAGTTTTTCGCTGTACTTTCGCTGCATAGAGAAAGACGGAATATGCCATTTTGTAGCCCTTGCAATCAGTTGGGAAGCGGCTGATAAGTTTTTCATTCGAAGCCTTTGTGATCGAGGCCTTTTCTCTTACATTTCATATTCGGTTTTCTACGCCCTTCTAATGGGGCTCATTGTAAATTTTGTTTAGTTAAAACAAAGTGGAACGTTTTCTTGTCAATTTTGTTCTGCAAAGCTGCATAAAAATGTTTTCTGTATCATCTCTAACCAGCCCAACTGAAGTACAAGTCATATTTTGGCACCCATACTGCGCGATAGAAAAATGCTGCCTAGTTCTAACTCGTTTTCAAGGAAACCTGCCCCAGAAAACTCATTGTATTGTCTAAGAGAATCGTTTTGAGCCGTGTGAGAAAGAGCACGTCCGAAGATACGGAAAAATTCATATTAGAGTGCCTTCGCGTCTGATAAGACAGAATCAGAGAGATAATTAATCTTCTGAAAATGTGCGTTGGAAAGTGTTTCCGTTTGAAACATAGCAGTGTTGACAGCCTATAAATTTACAGTTACTTATTGTGCGTGCTCTTTTCTTATAGTTTTGTAGACAATTTAATGAAGAATCGTTCCAGATTAAGCTCAAGTATCTACGATGAAAACTCATCGAGATATTGACGAAATACTGACGATATCATTCTTTATGCCACCCGCGATATATTTTTCAAAAAAGTCCTGGAAGGGTTAATTCCCATTTAAGAAAAAATTCCTTGAACTGCTTTTTACTCAAACTCCTCATCTGTAAAGTGATGAATGTCATATATGAAAATATTTCAAAAAGCTTTCTCTTAAATATGTATCAAAGCGTTTCTAAAATTCTCAGAAATGTCTGACCAAAAAAAGACATCTTTTTCAGCATCTATCTGTACTAAAAGTTTCAAGTCAATCCCACATCCTGTTTTAATACTGTAATAAGAAAAAAGAAGGGACCCTTAATACTCCCTTAACTT